GCCGAGCCCGCGAGAGGCGGCCGCCCAGCAACCAGCGCGCGCTCCCCCGCGGCCGCCGCGGGACCCGCGCCGCAGCCCTCCCGCAGCGCCTCGGCCGCCGGCCCCCGCCCGCCCCCCGGTGTCCGCAGCCCGCGGGCGTACCGAGGCGACCGCGCTGCCGCCGGCGTCTGGGGCTGCCCGGGTCACCGCGCGCCCACCGCGGCCGCGGACGCTGCTGCCGAGGCGCCCGAGCACAGCGGGCCGCGGCTCCCGGGGACCCCAGGAGGGCTGCTCCGTGCAGCTTCATTCACAAAAAAGGGCCCACAACCCTCCTCGGGGCCCGCAACCGAGGCCTCTCATTGGCCAGGGCGGCGTGACGTCACGGAGACGGGGCCTTTCTACAGGCAGGTACCCGGTGACGCCATAAAGAAAAGTCTGAGCGGTTTCACCAATCAGAGAGAAGGTGTGCCCACGACCCCTCGGGCTGCCCACTAACTTTTGTCCATGTGTCCTGCGGGTGCCCGCATCCCGGCTCCTGGCTTCCTGCTGTGAGTCCCCAAGCCCTGCGCAGCCCTGCCCTGGTGACTCACGCCAGGTCTTTGACATGTATATGTTTGAAATATTTCTTGGTTTTCCTTGTAATTCGCGCCAAGCGAAAGAGGCTCTTGCCATGGCTGCCGGAGGGAAGAGTGTGGACTGCCCCAACTGTCCGCAGTTGAGTGGCCTTAAGGTGGAGTCCATCTCAGAACTTAACCACTTCCACCAGCCACGAGCTGTGGACCTGCGTACGCCCAGCGTTCAAAAGACCCCCGGGGCCGCGGCGCTGACGGAACCGGGTGGGAACACGACGGACCTCAGGGTTTGCACCTCCAGCGCCTCATCCCGGGACCGCCTTAACTCGGTGGTTGTCTACACGGTTGCTGTGGACGTCTGAGGTGTCCACAGGCCCGGTTGTACTGTGAAGCATTGCAGCAAGTTGCAAACTCAGCTCTTCAACTTTTTCTTGAAAATTGTAGGGTCGCATCCCCTTCTTTTCCTTCTGGGTTAAAACACTGGCTGATCTTTGGAACTTAACCGCGGTTCTCATTTTGGAGGGCCTTAAAACGAATGTCCGCGACAGCGTCCAACAGGGCGAGACTTTGGAAGGCAATCTTCCTAGAATCCGCGGCCCCAAGTTCTACATCCACAAGCTGTTCCTATTTTTCACCCGCATTTTAACAGCTTTTCCGGCAGCTCAGCGATTACTGCCTGGCTTTGGAAGAGAATAAGGTTTTCAGTGCGTCCTCCCGGGAAGCCTCTCAGAAATGTAGATTTCCCCAGTGCCTCAGGGAGGGGCTACTTGACTTCTATTGTTGTGGATTTTCCCTTAAGTCCTGCTAAATAAGGAAGGAGGGGACTGAGCGACGGTTTCCGCTGCCTGGAACTAGAGATCACGACTGCTTAATTTGTGTTTGTTAAGCTTAATGCTCGGGTGCTTTCTTCCCCTGTTTCCCCAAAGGAAATAGTGAAGGCCTTAGATCTAAAATGGCCTAAGCGGTTTGCCTAAGGGGCCTGTGGAGTGCTGGGTTCGTGAGCCCTGGTGGGCTGAAACCTTGGGGTCACAGGCCTCTGTTTTGGAGACCTTTCATACTGTTCTAGGACTCGGTGGTAGAAAAGGCCAAGTGTCCCAGACAACCAGAAATTTTCAAAGAATAAGTCTTGGTTTGAATAGATAATACCTAGGAGTTATCCCGATGTAGAAATACAGCATCCCACAGTGATCTGGTTTTTGAGAGTGGCTTACCTAAATGTCAAGCTAACACGGAGTGCTAACAAGTTCCCTTAATGCCAGTTCATTGTCTCTCACTTTCAAACAATGTTTGGGCTAGACAGAATGCATGTGATTTAAATAAAAGAAAAAGGTCATTAATTCAGTTAGTTATATCATTTAAATATTTTCACATTTTGCAAATATATAATTTTAAGTTTTTTCCATATAATAAGTATCATCAAAAAACAAGGAATATTAGGTGCTGGGGTCTAGCTTAGTAGTAAGCATTCTCCAGCATGTAGGAGGCCCTGGGTTACATCCCCAGTACTGGTCATAGTGGATAAACAAGATATATCAATTACATTTTGTGATTATGCAGCCATATATTCTAGGAATAAAAGTCCAATGCAGGGTGTATTTGGGGCTAGGATTGTGGCTCAGTGGTAGAGCACTTGCCTAGCACCTGTGAGGCCCTGGACACCAAATAAAGATAAACAAAGATATTGTGTCCATCTTTTTAAATATTTTTAAAAATATTTTTTAAAAAAACGTTTTGTTTTGGTACCAGGAATTGAACCCAGGGGCAATTTACCACTGAGCCACATCCGCAGCTCTTTTTATTTTTTATTTTGAGACAGGGTCTCACTAAATTGCTGAGGCTGAATTGAACCTACAATCCTCCTGCCTCAGCCTCCCAAGCAGCTGGAATTACAGGCATGGGCCACCAGGCCAGCTATTTATGAAAGTTTTAAGTCCTCTTTATATTTGTTCTTAGGTCATGTTTAGATTCTGTCAGAAAAAGTGCTATTTCTTAGCTATTTTGTGCGTGAGGACTTCCTTGGAACAATTTAACTCCCCTCTTCAATAAGTTGACCTCTAGGCTGAGATTTTTTTTTTTTTAAAGAGAGAGAGAGAGAGAATTTTTTAATATTTATTTTTTAGTTCTCGGCGGACACAACATCTTTGTTTTGTATGTGGTGCTGAGGATCGAACCCGGACCGCACGCATGCCAGGTAAGCGCGCCACCACTTGAGCCACGTCCCCAGCCCTAGGCTGAGAATTTGATCACAGGAAATTTGAGTTTGTACTTTAGTAATAGAATTTCAGAGCCTGAAAGCACCCAGGACAATATGTGGTCCAAGGCTGCCCTTTCACAGTGAGCACCAGGGGACACAGATGCCAGGCCCAGAGGAGGCCCTAATGCCCTCTCCCAGTCTCTCTCCAGGAGTCCTCTTTCCAGGAGTTGTCTGAGCTTAGAGAACTGGCATCTGGTTGTGCTTCTCAGATTCTCAACAGTATGGGCAACCAGCACCCTGAAAAGCAAGAGGACGAGGAGGAGGAAGAGGGGGAGGGGGCTAGGGGGAGGGGGAAAGGGAATTCTTTCAAATAACCCTATCCCAGCACTACACCAACAATACAAAAATTCCCCGTCTCTTCTAGGTAAGTTCACTCTGAGAGCAATTATGGAACATCCTTCTTTATGTTTATTTCAGGTAAATCAAATTCAGAATTTATTTATTTTTTATTTTTTTGTTACTAGGAGTTCAACCCAGGGATGCTTAACCACTTAGCCACATCCCCAGCCCTATTTTAAGTATTTTATTAGTGACAGGGTCTTGATGAGTTGCTAAGTGCCTCACTAAATTGCTGACACTGGCTTTGAACTCACAATCCTCCTGCCTCAGCCTCCCAAGCCTCTGGGATTACAGGCATGTTCAGAAAATTTGAAATCAAACATTAAAATTAGTAGAAAGTGGTTGATAGGTGATTTCAAATAATAGTCTAAATTTCAGAATCAGTGAGTTACACTTTAGTTATGTAAAGATAAATAATTTGTGTAAGGTGGACAGGTCCAGAGGCAGGCACAGGGGAAAGGGAGTAGAACATCTTCACTAGTGTATCTAAGAAGACTTTGGGGCTGGGGCTGAGCTCAGCGGAAGAGTGCCTACCTGGCATGCGCTGGGATTCAGTCCCCAGGACCACACGCACACAAGATTTGGTTTTGTTTCATTGGATACTGTAGTCCAAGCATTTATCTGAAGTCCCCATGTTCCTGTCCCAGGGCTGAAAGTCTCTGAGCACTGGAAAGTGAGGGAAGGAAGGAATATTTGTTCAGCTTCAACCACATGCTGGGGCCTGTGAGTTTCATGCAAATTCTCTGTTAGGTGATATTCTCATTTTATAGGTTGAGGGACCCTCATGTGACAGGTCAAGGTCATTAGCTACCTAGTGAGTGTCATTTGGAATCCTTGTGACTCCAAAGTGTGGAGGGACAGGCACCATCTTCACAGGTGAGACCAACACAAAGGGCTCCTAGCTGGCCTTCTGAAAGGAAGTGACCTCTATACCTGCATAAATGTCAGAATGTCTGGTTGATTTCTTTGGATGTCAGACCGACCCTAATGAAGACTCCCCCCCCCCCCACCCCCGCAGTGCTGGCGTTCAAACCAGGGGCTTCATATGGCAAGAACTCTACCACTGAGTTATACCCCAGCCCTTTTCATTTTATTTTGAGACAGGGTCTCACTTAGTTTCCCAGGCTGGTCTTAAATTTGTAATCCTCCTGCCTCAGCCTCCTGAGTAGCTAGAATCACAGGGACCACCACACCCACCTAAAAACACGGCTTTTCAAAAAATAAACTAGTTCATATTGTGCATTTTATTCTGTGAGCTGCTTTTCTCACTTCGTGTGGTGCTGTAGTTTAGATCTGAAATGTCCCCTGAAGGCCCTGGTGTTAAAGGCTTGGCCTTCAGACTCTGGTGCTCTTGGGAGAGGGTGGAACTTTTTTTTTTTTAAGAGAGAGTGGGAAAGAGAGAGAGAGAATTTTTTTAAAAAAATATTTATTTTTTTAGTTCTCGGCGGACACAA